TAGTCCCCTGCGCTCCGCGGTGCCCGCTCTTGAGCTCCGGGCTCCAGGCTCCAACCTCCTGCGATCCGCGGTGTCAGGCTTGGGCTCGGGGCTCTAGGCTCTTGGGTGTCAGTGCTTGGGCTCTGGCTTCGAGGTCAGGGACTCCAGGCCTTAAACCTCAAGGGCTTTGCTGTGGGGTTATCTCTCGTGTCCGGGTCTAGGCTCCAGACTCCTAGCCTTGGTCGTGAGGCTCCAGGCTCCACTGCCCCGACTCCGGCTGCAGGGGAGCCACTGACTAACGCACATTGTGCTGAGGACCCACTGTGCGTGTGACAGCGGCTACCGTGCAGCCGGCCCACCACAGGACTGAGGAGACCACCAGCCTCCCACCAAAGCTATCCAGGGTCCTCCCAGAGCCCAGTGGAACATCAGAACATTCCTCGGCTGGCATGGTGGTAGCTCGGTAGGCCACCTCGAAGTGTGAAACTTGCCAGCCTGGCAAATGCTCTGGGTCCAGATGGAGTTCTCAGCTGGGACTAGAGGGCGGCTGTCAGACTAGCGATGGGTTTCTCTTCCTCAGGTTCTTGTCTTCTGCCAAGCCCTGCTGCCCTGGCTTCACTGAGCTGCTGAGGCTTGGGACTCTGGCGCTGTGAAGGCTTTGCTTGGGATAGGAGAGTATCCCACCTCCAGGTTAAGGTGCCTTCCTGCGGCCCAGAGAGATGAAGGCACTTGCCTGAGCTCACACAGCCTGTCTGAAGGCTCCCAGACAGGATCTTCTGGGAGTTCTTCCTGACTCCCAGCTCTGCATTCTAGCCCCTATGCCAGGCTGCTTGGACCTCAGTCCCCTGTCCTGACACCAGTAAGCTCCTGGCCAGAGGAGCTCCCAGAGGTGGCTTCTGACTTTGCCTTGCCTGTTGAATCAGAGTTCCCCTCGGGTTTGGCCACTGGGATGGTGGGACAGAGGACCTTGGTTACTTTCTGCCGCTGCTGGGGAACCCTGCTGAGAATAGCCAACCCTCTGGGGCACGGCCAGCTGTAAGGATGCTGTGAGGCCCTGCAGGCTTTCCCTTATGCTCATCCTTAGTGGCAGGGCAGTCCTGGGTTCGGGACATTTTCTTAACGTTTGTACTCTTGCAGGATAACCTGTGGCCAAGGCCGGAAACTTCTGGATGAAGATGGAGCATACCGGTCCTGAGGGCTCACAGCGGTCAGCCTCCTGGATCACTCCCCCATGCCCTTGGCCCAAAGTCATGGGTCCACGTTCCTTCCTCTAGTTGAGTCACTGACTGGAACGTGCCTGATGTCTCCACAGGAGGCCAGTGTCCTCCAGAGATGGAGGCTGCCCCAGGCTACCCTGAGGGGGCGATGGTTTTCCTTCAGCATCTCCTGTGAGGCACCCTTTGGAAGGGCCAAGGATGGAGCTCGATTCTCGATCTGTCTGTCATATTGCTTGTGGGAGGTGGCCGACTTCTCTCACTGCCAATAAAGAAACGTGAGGGCACAGTATGGCGCTGGATGGTTGTGTCCTCGACAGCCCTCATCTGGACAAGATGCTGAAGGACGAGGGTGGCACGAGAGCATGGCGTGGGGGGGTAGTGTGCTGCTCTGTCTACTTGGCTTCTGAGGCCTCTCGGGCTATCTGGGCAGGAAGCTGGCAAGGTCCAGAGCTTGGGGACGTAGGTCTAGGGTGTCTGCTTGGAGCCATGGTTCCGGCTCCTCAGTGCCCTTGTCTTTCAGGGAACTAGGGTAGGGGTGATTGGCAGGGAGCTGAACCTGGTTTCCTCCTCAGGTGCCCACACGGGATGGAGGGTTGTAGGAAGGTGAAGGCAGCGAGAGGAAAGTCGTCCGTCCCAGGCTCCTTGGCAGCTCACGGATGGGGCAGGTCTTTCGTGGGTTAATGGCCTGACAACGAGCTTTAAGCCAGCCAGAAGGCTAGAGACTAATGGTGCCTATGGGGGATGTCAGAGAGGGGCCTGGGGAGCCACGGGAGAGCTGGGACTGTGAGAGAGACGGGCCCGGCTCTGGAGTTGCTGAGGTGACTTCCAGATGTCCATCTTTGTCCTAGAGGTCCCCCACCCTTCAGTCATTGGGCCTCCTCCAAGTATAGTCTTCCAGCTGTCGGTGAAGGCTTAGGTTCCATCACTGGGGAGAAGTACTGCCCCGGAAGGGTTCAGGTAGTGGGCATCTGGCTAGCAAATTAGGAAGGCCTTTTTTTTTCTCTAGGAGGACAGACTCCCTCAAGGCAGCCTGGTGTTCATTTGGGTTTCAGGGGTAAAGGAGCCAGAGGCAGAAGGACTGGCTTCCTTGGCCAACTGTTGGCCTCAGGGTGCTGAGTTAAGCTCTCCTGTGTGCCCAGGGCCTCAGGAATGTGGTACCACCCAAAGGCAGCCACTCACCAGCCAAACCTGTCCAAGCAGCTGGGCACAGGCAGGACTGTCTCCAGGGCCCAGAGAGGGCCTCCCGGAATGAGCTCTGAACTCCCAGGGGTTGGGCTCCAGGTCCAAAGTGGCCTGGCCTAGCTGGTCTGCCCACTCCCAGGGCACTTCAGCCGAAGTTGGTCCATGAGTCACCCAGCAAGACTCCAGGAAGAAAATGAGGAACCAGGTCCTCCCCTGGTGCCTCCCTACCTGGCTAAAGAGGGGTGTGGCTGTGGCAGTCCTGCCTCCCAGGGAGCCGAGCTCTCAGAAAGCAGGCCCCTGCTGTGGGCTTCTCCATCATCCTTACCAGGCACTAGCAGTCCCATTTGTCTCTGCCCCGCCCCCCCCCCCCCCCCCCCCGCTGTGGGTGGGGGGTGCCCAGGAACAGGGGGGGGCAAGGGGGGGGGCGCGCCCAGCTGCTGCATATTGCTGGGCCTTTGTCCTCATCCCCCAGTGAGCCAGAAAGGAGTCTGAACCCTACCCTTCCCTCTGCTCTGAGAAAACCCCTGGCTCTTGGGTCCGATCAAGGCCATGCCTTCCCTTCAGAGCTTCAGAGAAGAGCTCCTGGAGGGGAGGGGGCCGCAGGGACTCAGGACTATTCACGGCATGGGGACCGGTAGCCTGAGCAATGGGTGGGAATTTGAGATCAGAGCCAGAGGAAGGTTGTGATAACAATGGATAGGGCTTTGGATTGCAGATTTCTGGGAGCGGAAGGAGGGAGGGAGGTTCCCAGCACTCCAGATATTTAGGCAGAGGCTCTAAAACTGGCCCAGGCCTCAGAGAAACTCAGGCCTGACCCACCTCGCAGGATACAGAGATATAGCATACTTAGGGTGCCTTTATTCCAGGGGATCCACATAGGAATAGGACCTTCCCCAGCAGGGATACACTCAGTCCACCCCAGGAGATAGCACACCTCCACCCCCACCCCTGCTAGGAGTTTACTGGCCACACAATAGGGATCCAGGGAAGCGAGCTCTGACCAGAGGAGCCTGGGCCAGCCCGTGGGACCACCGTCCTTCCGTCCGTGGGTCTCTGACAGAGTGGCACAAAGATTCTCCTCCCGGCCCAAGTCAGCCTTTTCCAGTGATCTTTCACATAGCTGACCAGTGCAGCATGGCTGGAGAAGGGGACCAGCTGAATGGCTGGGACGTGACCATCTTCAGCATGGCCTCAGCGTCCAGGGGAGCTGCCTCTAGGAGAGATGACTGTGAGAGCTGACGAGGCTGAGCGAGCAGCCGGCCATGGCGGAGAGGAAGGTGCCAGGCAGGCGGGCACACAGGGGCTCTCCTCCAAGTCCTCTTCCTGGAGGGGCAGGGGCAATGGACTTCCACGTGCTTAGGGGCTCATGCTGGACATCTCGGGAAGACCTGGGATGGGCTTGTTGGCGAGGCTGCAGGATCCTGCAGCAAACAGGGAGTGAGTCCAGGGAGCCCCAGGAAGGGGGGGTGTTCCTTCTGGGGCCCCCCCGGTGCTCAGCTCCCGAGGCTCTCACCTGGCTGGGGCCAGAGCCTTGGGGTCGTGGGGGCAGTGCCGGTCCGGCCTGCTGGATGAACTGCCGCAGGTTACACTGTCTGAGCTCTCGGTTCAGCTCCTCCACCTCTTGGGCCTGGGCCTGGATGAGAGGGGTGGGAGAGGGGAGCCATGAAGGTGCCTGGTCCCTTCCTGGAAGCGGGGCTGGCGGGTGGTGGGTCAGGCTGGCCTCACCTGCAGGCTCTGCTCGGCCTCCGCCAGGGCCCGGCCCACACTGGCCAGGCTGCTCTCCAGCCGCTCGCTCTGCAGGGCCTGGGTCTGCAGGTCCCTCTGGAGCCGGGCGGCCGCAGCCTCGTCCTGGGTCCTGCGGGGGCCAGGCCCCTCCTGCTGCTGCTGTTGCCGCTGCCGCCGCCAGCTAATCTCCTCCTCTAGGGCTCGGGCCTGAGCATCCAGCTCTCGAAGGCGAAGGGCGCATTCCTCGGTGGCCACCTGCAATTCTCGCATGCGGCCCTGGCGCTCCAGCTCCTGCTGCACTTCCCGCCGGAGTTCCTCTTCCCAGAAGCCCTCCTGACCCAGCTCGGCCTCGTTGCTCTGGACCAGGTGCTCCAGACCCCACAGCTCCCCTCCTGCGTCCTCCCTGGCTGAGGCGGAGGGCCAGCCCCTGTGGGGCTCATGGGGCGCAGGGGGCCGGGGCCTATGGGGAAGGCTGGCCCACACTGGGGAGCGCTCTGGGGGAAGACAAGGGTCTGAGGCAGGCCGTTCGGCGAGGCTGGGCCCCGTCCGCCGAAGTACAAACTGGACATCGCTGGCAAACTGTCCACATGTGGCCTGGGCGCCCACCGGGCACTCCTGTGGCAGCATCTGTCGCTCCTTGTCCCGGAGGCGCTGGATGAGAACATAGCGACCGGTCTGTCCTGGGAAAAAGGAGAAGGTGGTCTTCGGGGGTGAGAGGTGGGGAGCCCCAGCACCGGCCGCCCACCCACCTGCCAGCCCAGGGGCTGCCCTGCTCACCTAGGGCTTGGGCCAGGGCGATGACCACTTCCTGGCAGGTGGTCTGCTCCGACACGCCACAGACCACACGCTGGACTCCGTCCACCCACACCTTCAGCTCCATGGGGGCGGGGGCAGGGCCGGGGCATCCCCAGCAGGACCTGAGGAAGGCGTGAGGGGCACCCCCAGTTCAGCAGGGGCGGGGGAAGCAGAGCTGGGGGGGCCCCAGGCTCTTCCCCTCTCCCCAAAGCGACTCCTTAAAGGGCCAGGCTCTGCTCTCCACCTCAAGACAGACCTGGGTTGTTAATCCGCGCCTCCTGTCCCAGCCCCCTCCCACCCCTAAATATGCTCTCGTTTGGGGGGGCGGGGTCAGAGGTCAGGAGGATCAGCGTTCCCCCCCACTGATCTCTGACGCCCCGCCCCCAGATCCAGGAAAGCAGCGGCTGACCCTAGCAAAGATCACCCTAAAAGAAGAACCCAACAGCCCGGACCCTACCCTCGGGGCCTCTCCCCGCAGCTCCAAACTGACCAACCTTGCTCGGGCTCAGGCTCCGGCTCCGGTTCGGACTCCGGCAACCCCGCCCCGCGGCCCCACGCCATCCCCTGACTGGCTGGTTCTGCGAGCCCCGCCCCACCCGGCACCCCTATTGGCCTGATGCCTGTTGCCCCACCCCACCCCGCCCCGGGCGCCCATTGGTCGCTGTGGCGAGCTCGCCCCGCAGCCCCACACCTCACCCTCATTGGCCGGATGCCGGTTGCCCCCACCCCGCCCCACCTAGCGCTCCCATTGGCCAGTCTCCAGCTCAGGCACCACCTCACAATCCTACGCCAGGCATCCATTGGCTGCCAAGGCTAGACCCGCTTCCACGCCTCCAGCCGAGTCTGGTTTACCTGGTTGTCGCCCCGCCCCCATTCCATTGGTCACCATTTCGAGCTTGCAGGTACGGGAAGGGCTTAGTGTAGTCACGTGGTCCGGCCGCCCCCTCTCCCCCAACTCCAGGGGTGTGGCTGGTTCCGACTCGGGGTCAGCGGTCAAAGTCGTCTCCCAGTCCAGACACCTGGGTCACTTTGCCTTTGGGGTGGGGAATGGTTTTCCTATTGGCCCGTGTCTCACTTCTGACCTTTGCCCTCTCCGTGACCTCAGACCCCACCATTTATCCAGACGAGCCCGATTTCCGGGTACCTGCTCGGAGCTGTAGGCCTCACCTCTCCGTCCATTGGCCCTCAACAGCCGCCCCGCCCCCTCTTTTTGCCGCGCTCCTATTGGCTCTTGTTTCTTCTGTCATCCTTTCTTCCTGTCCCTGGCGTTTGCTTTGCAGCTGAGTGGACTCCAAGGGAGGCGAGTTCCAGAGGTAGCGGGAGGCGGGGCCTAAGGCTGGGCCACCGCCTTCGGTCTGCGCATGCGCGGCTCCGGGTTTATTTGTATCTTGGTAGCAATTTCTGCTCACGTGGTGTCTTCCTGCGAATTAGCCTGTGGCCCCTCCCGGGACTACCCGCGGAGTGCAGGAGCCTGCGGGACCGGCAGGGGGCGCGCCTCAGACAGGGCCCTCGGTTGTCTGGTGGTGGGTGAGGATGAGGAGGGGAACCGAGGGTGGAGGACTCGGAGGGGGCCGAGAAGGGACGGGGATGGACAGGGCGAGGAGGGAGGCTGGATAGGAGGCATGTGGGGCAGGGCCCTTGGGGGTGAGCTGGACACTAAGCCTGGTGGAGGATGAGAAGTGTCCAGAAGTGGGGCCCAGCCCGGGAGTGGGTGCCCATCTCCGAGCCTAGTTGTGGGAGCCAGCGGTCCCGGGAGATCGTGCCGTGGCGTGGGGACCGTGCGCTGGTCCCGGGAGATCGTGCCGTGGTGTGGGGACGTGCGCTGGTCCCGGGAGATCGTGCCGTGGCGTGGGGACCGTGCGCTGGTTCCGGGAGATCGTGCCGTGGCGTGGGGACCGTGCGCTGGTTCCGGGAGATCGTGCCGTGGCGTGGGGACCGTGCGCTGGTTCCGGGAGATCGTGCCGTGGCGTGGGGACCGTGCGCTGGTCCCGGGAGATCGTGCCGTGGCGTGGGGACGTGCGCCGGACCCTCAGGCTCCCTCTGTGATGCCCGCTTTGCTCCTCTGTCCAGGGTGTTAAGGGAGGACCAGTTCCTTCCTTCGCTGTCTGCTGGGGCTCCCAGATGCTGTAGCATGTGAATTGGCCTCACCTTGATAAGGCCGGGACTAACCCAGGTCGAGGGTAGAGTCAGGGGGTTGTCAAGGACACGCATGGGTATACTGCCCTAGCAGAGTGGGCAGATGAGAACAATCTGTTCCAGGGGCATCGAAGGGGCCGAAGCAGGCGCTGTGGAGCACGTGGCGGAGCTTAGTCAGACATCAGAGACACCGACTTCTGCTGCTTCCGGAGGCATCCGCCTGCGTCTTGACTTTTGTCCTGCCGCTGGATTCCAGTGAGGCTAATGACTCTGTGCAACTCTACCTCACTTAAATCGGATTCAGGCCAAGAAGGGAGATATCACCTTCCCCCCCCCCCACTGTCCCGTCCCGCGGGACATCAACGGAGGTCCGGACCTGTAAAAGAAGGAGGGGAGCAGGGGACACAGGAAATGGAGACAAGACAGGCTTTCTGATCAAGTCTCGTTTATTGAAGGCTAGCTCAGGGTAATTATACACACTGTAAGAGGGAGTGGGGGAGTTCCATCACCGGTATAGGGGCGGCGTATTCCAGGAAGAGGTACAGCTTTGTCCGTAATTTGTTCTTATCACAAGGACCACCAAAGGTATAGGGGTATTCCAGGAAGAGGTAGTAATTTGTTCTTATCACAAGGAGGCCTTGACAACTGCAACCTAGTAATTTTCCAGAGGTCATACTGGGCCTGTGGTCCCTTACACCCCACTGGTCTTCAGAAAGGAAGGGTGAGCAGCCCCAGCTGGCTCTCCCCCCTGACATGTCATCTCCCATCTCCCTGCCTTTGTACAGCTCATTCCCCCATGCTGGAAATGCGTTCTCCCCCCACCCCAACCTCTGCCTTGTATAAACCCCAGCTTCCCACTTAGTCCAGCCGAGGTGTTATCTCCTCCTGGAGTTAGGAAATAAACATTTGTTTAACACCTGCTGTGTGCCGGCACTCCCCCTGGAGGAGTTCCTGACCTGCACGCAACGGGTGTAACTAAACTAGAGACAGGATCCACTGGAGACAGCAGAGGACGCACTAGATGTGCATAGGATACCTTTTTATTCATGTCCAGATTGTTTCCCCCATTAGACCTTAACCCGTTTTTGTCTGTCTCCTCAGTACCAAACAGTATCTGACACACAGCAGGTGCTTAATACATTTGCTGATTGCTGAGCACAGTGCAGTGGATGTGGGGTGTTTGTTTTTAGCTCTCCTGGGCGAAAAGGAAGGGTCCCAGCATCGCAGGACATCTCACTGACAGCAAAGAAGTGGACTGCTTCTGTTTTCTTAGCCAAAGACCGCCAACCTTTGGGCTGGAAGTGGAGGCCCTCACTGGGGCAAGGCAGTCCTGCTGCACAATACTTCCTGGATCAAGGCACTACCCTAGGCAGTTCCAGATGGCCCCTGGCCATTCTGATACTGTTGGCTTCATTTGTCCCACCTACAAACACACCCATACTTTTTTTTTTTGGCTAGGCAATGGGGTTAAGTGACTTGCTCAAGGTCACACAGCTAGTAAGTATTTGAACTCAGATCCTCCTGACTCCAGGGCCAGTGCTGTATCCACTGTGCCACCTAGCCGCGCTGCACACCCACATTTTTAAAAAGAACCTCTTGATCGAATCCTCCCTTTTCCCTCTCTCTTCCTTTTTGTGGCTGAACTCCCAGAGAAGGCCATCCAAAACCAGCATTGCCACTTCTCACTCTCTCTTCTTCTGTTCACATAATTTAATTAAATCTGCCCTCCCCAAAGCCACCAATGATCTCGTAATGACCAAATCTAATGACTTTCCTCAACCCTCCGCCCTCTGACCCTGGCACCTTCTTGTTCCCCTGCCACCTCTAGGACTAGATACGGAATCCTTTATGGCCTTGAAAATTCTTCCCAGTCTGGGCACTTCCCCTCCCTTGCCTACGCTCTGGGGTCCAGGGGCACTTCCATAGAGCAGAGTCTGCTTCTGGGTTCTGTGCCTTTGCATCTTTGGCCTCTCTGGCTGGCTTCCTTCAAGTCCATCCTGAAATGCCGCTTTTTGCGTGAAGCCTTTTTTGGGTGGCCCTTGATGCTTTGAGCTTTGGGCCACTTCGTGCTGTCTGTCTTGTTTGCATGAAGCACTTTATATGTTGCCTCCCCCTTTAGACTGGGAGCTTTTTCAGGGCAGGGGCTGTCTTTTCTTTTTCTTTGTATCGTCTGTACTTGGCATGGTACCTGGCACATAAAAGACTCTGAATCAATTCTAGCTTATCAATCATCACTTTTTTAATTAAGAGAACGAGAATAAGAATAAGCCTAATAAGGTTTACTTTTTTTAGAATTTATTTATTTTTAGTTTTCAACATTCACTTCCGTAAGATTTTGAGTTTTAAATTTCCACCCCTTCCCACTTCTCCCCCCTCCCCCCAGACAGCATACAATCTGATATAGGCTCTACATATACATCCATGTTAAGCATATTTTCCCATTAGTCATGATGTAAAGGACAGTTAGAACTAATGGGAGGAATCATGAGAATGAAGCAATAAAACAAAACAACAAAAGAAAAGGAGAGCAAATAGTCTGCTTCATCTGCATTCAGACTCCATTATTTCTTTTTCTGGATGTGCATAGCAATTTCCGTCATGAATCTTTTGGAGTTGTCTTAGATTCTTGCATTGCTGTGAAGAGCCAAGTCTATCATAGTCATTCATCCCATAGTCATCAATGTGACTGTTACTGTGTACAACATTCTCCCGGTTCTGCTCATTTTACTCTGCATCAGTTCATGTAAGTCTTTCCCAGTTTTTTGAAATCTGCCTGCTCATCATTTCTCATAGCACAATGGTATTCCATTACATTCATATACCACAATTTGTTCAGCCATTCCCTAGTTAATGGGCATCCCCTCAATTTCCAATTCTTTGCCACCACAAAAAGAGCTGCTATAAATATTTTTGTACGTTTGGGTCCTTTTCCCATTTTTATGATTTCTTTGGGATACAGACATAGAGTATACACAATTTTATAGCCCTTTGGGCATAGTTCCAAACTGCTCTCCAAAATGGTTGGATCATTTCACAACTCCACCAACAATGCATTAGTGTTCCAAATTTCTCACATCTTCTCCAACATTTATCATTGTCCTTTTTTGTCATGTTAGCCAATCTGATAGGTGTGAGGTGATACCTCAGTCATTTTGATTTATATTTCTCTAATCAATAGTGATTTAGAACATTTCATAGGACTATAGATAGCTTTAATTTCTTCCTCTGAAAACTGCCCGTTCATATCATTTGACCATTTATCAATTGGGGAATGACTTGTATTCTTATATTTTCAACTCAGTTCTCTATTTTAGAAATGAGGCCTTTATCAGAGACACTAGTCATAAAAATTGTTTCCCAGTTTTCTGCTTCCCTCTTAATCTTGGATGCATTGGCTTTATTTGTGCAAAAACTTTTCTGTTTCAAATTGGAACACTAATGCATTGTTGGTGGAGTTGTGAAATGATCCAACCATTTTGGAGAGCAATTTGGAGCTATGCCCAAAGGGTTATAAAAATGCACATACCCTTTGACCCATCAATAGCACTTCTAGGGCTGTATCCCAAAGAGATCATACAAATGGGAAGAGGACCCACATGTACAAAAATATTCATAGCAGCTCTGTTTGTGGAGGCAAAGAATTGGAAATTGAGAGGATGCCCATCAATTGGGGAATGGCTGAGCAAATTGTGGTATATGAATGTGATGGAATACTATTGTGCTATAAGAAATGATGAACAAGCTGACTTTAGAAAAACCTGGAAAGACTTGTATGGTCTGATGCTGAGTGAAGTGAGCAGCACCAAGAGAATGTTGTACACAATAACAGCCATGTTGTGTGATGACTAATATTGATGGACTTATCCCTTCCCGGCAATACAAGGATCTAAGACATCTCCAGAGGCCTTGTGATGGAAAATGCTATCCACATCCAAAGAAAGAACTATGGAAATTGAATTGCTATTTTTTTTTCTTCTCTTCTGTTGAGTTTTGTTTCATCTTTCTGATGGTTCCTCCTATTGGTTTTAATTTTTACTTACAACATCACTAATGTGAAAATATGTTTAATATGAATGTAAATGTATAGCCTATATCAGATTGTGTGCCATCTTGGGGAGGGTGGTGGGGAGGAAGGGGGAGAAAAATTTTAAACTCAAAAGCATATGGAAGTGATTATTGATAAATCAAAATAAATTGATAAAAAAAGAAACAAAAAAAATAAAGTCAACGTAAAAAGAAACTTTTCTGTTTAATGTAATCAGAATTGTAATTGAATCTTAAAGGTAAACTATTGCTTGCTCTTCTAGTTTGCTTATAGTATCAGTCTTTATATCTAAATCATGTACCCATTTTGACTTTATCCTGGTGTAGGGTGTAAGATGTTGGTCTATGCCCCGTTTCTGCCATACATTTTTCAAGTTTTCCCAGCAGTTTTTGTTAAATAGTGATTTCTTATCCATGAAGCTGGAGTCTCTGGATTTATCAAATAGTAGATTAGTATAGTCATTGACTGTTGTGTCTTGCATACCTGATCCATCACTCTTATTTCTTAACCAGAACCAAGTAGTTTTGATGATTGCTGCTTTATAATACAATTTAAGATCAGGTACAGCTAGGCCACTTTCCCTTGTACTTCTTTTCATTAGTTCCTTTGATATCCTAGACTTTTTGTTCTTCCAGATGAATTTTGTTATTGCTTTTTCTAGCTCTATAAAACAATTTTTTGGTAGTTTGATTGGTATGACACTGAAAAAATAAATTAATTTAGGTAGAATTGTCATTTTGATTATATTAACTCAGTCTATCCTTGAACAACTGATATTTTTCCAATTATTTAGATCTGACTTTCTTTGTGTGGAGTGTTTTGTAATTGTATTCATATAGTTCCTGGTTTTGTTTTTGCAGGTAGACTCCCAAATATTTCATAGTGTCTACAGTAATTTTAAATGGAATTTCTCTTTATATCTCTTGCTACAGAGTATTTTATTAGTAATATATGGAAATTCCAATGATTTGTGTGGGTTTATTTTATATCCTGCAACTTTGCTAAATTTGTTTATTATTTCAAGTAATTTTTTACTTGATTCTCTAGGATTCTCTAAATATACCATCATATCATCTGCAAAGAGTGATAGCTTTGTTTCTTCTTTGCCTGTTCTAATTCTTTCAATTTTTTTTCTTCTCTAATTGCTACAGCTAACATTTCTAGCACAATATTGAATAACCATGGTAATAATGGACATCCTTGTTTCACCCCTGATCTTACTGGAAATGCTTCTAGCTTATCCCTATTGCATATAATGTTTGCTGATGGTTTTTGATAGATGCTATCTATCATTTAAAGGAAGACTCCATTTATTCCTATGCTCTCTAGTGTTTTTAATAGGAATGGGTGTTATATTTTGTCAAATGCTTTTTCTGTATCTATTGAGATAATCATATGATTTGTTAGTTTTGTTGTTGATATAGTCAGCTATGCTGATAGTTTTCCTAATATTGAACCAGCCCTACATTCCTGGTATAAATCCTACCGGGTCATAATGTATTATCCTTGAGATTAATTGTTGTAATATCTTCGCTAATATTTTATTTAAAATTTTTGCATCTATATTCATTAGGGAAATTGGTCTATAATTTTCTTTCTCTGTTTTGACTCTTCCTGGTTTAGGTATCAACACCATATTTGTATCATAAAAAGAATTTGGTAAGACTCCTTCTTTGCTTTGGAATTAGTTGTTCTTTAAATGTTTGATAGAATTCACTTGTAAATAATCCATTTGACCCTGGAGATTTTTTCTTAGGGAGTTCATTGATGGCTTGTTCAATTTTTTTTTCCTTTAATGGGGTTGTTTAAGTATTTTATTTCCTTTTTCATTAATCTGGTCAATTTATATTTTTGTAAAAGTCATACATTTCACTAAGATTGTCAAATTTATTGGCATACAATTGGGCAAAATAGCTCCTAATTATTGTTTTGATTACCTCTTCATTGGTGGTGAATTCACCCTTTTCATTTTTGATTCTGGTAATTTGGTTTTCTTCTTTCCTTTTTTAAATCAAATTAATGAAAGGTCTATCTATTTTATTGATTTTTTCATAAAACCAGCTCTTAATTTTATTTATTAGTTCAATAGTTTTCTTAATTTCAATTTTATTAATCTCTCCTTTGGTTTTCAGAATTTCTAATTTGGTGTTTAATTGGGGATTTTCAATTTGTTCTTTTTCCAACTTTTTTAGTTGCATGCCAAATTCATTGATCTCCTCTTTCTCTATTTTATTCATTCAAGCAGTTAGAGATAGAAAACTTCCCCTAAGGACCACTCTTGCTGCATCCAATAAGTTTGGGTATATTGTCTCATAATTGTCATTGTCTATGGTACCTTTTACCAGGATGTAGTTTCCTTCCTCATCTCTTTTAATTAGATCTATTTCTGCTTTTGCTCTATCTGAGATCAGGATTGCTACCCCTGCTTTTTTTTTCACTTCAGCTGAAGCATAATATATTCTGCTCCAGCCTTTTACCTTTACTCTGTGTGTATCCCTCTGCTTCAAATGTGTTTCTTGGAGACAACATATTGTAGGATTATGGTTCTTAATCCACTGTGCTATTCATTTTCAGTTTATGGGCGAGTTCATCCCATTCATATTCACAGTTATGATTACTATCTGTGTTTCTTTTTCTCTCCTTTTTCCCTTTCCCTCCTCAGTAGAGTTTTGCTTTCAACCACCACCTCCCTCAGTCTGCCCTCCCTTCTATTAGCCCCCTCCCTTTTCTTTTCCCTTTATCCTTTCTGCTTCCTATAGGGTAAGTTAGATTTCTCTAAATAACTGATAATGTTATGCCCTCTTTGAACCAAATCTGATGAGAGTAAGGTTCAAACAATGCTCATTTCCCTCCCTTCTTTCCCTCTACTGCATTTGGTTCTTGTGCCTTTTCATGTAATTTATCCTTGTCTGCCTCCTTCTTTCTTCTTCTCCCAGTACACTCCTTTTTCACCACTTCATTAGATTTTTTTACCATCACATCAAAGGCAACTTAAACCCAAGCCCTCTGTCTAAATACACTCCCTTTTACTTGTCATAATGACATTGCAATTCTTAAGAGTTACAAATGTCATCTTCCCTTGTAGAGATATAAACAGTTTGCCCTTATTAATAATATATTGTTGTTGTTTTTCTTTCCTGTTTACCTTTTTATGCCCCTCTTGAGTCTTGTATTTGAAGGTCAAATTTTCTGTTGAGCTCTGGTCTTTTCATCAGGAAGGTTTGGAAGTTGCCTATTTCACTGAAGGTCTATCTCCAACCCTGAAAGATTATGCTCGGTTTCGCTGGGTAGTTGATCCTTGGTTGTAATCCAAGCTCCTTTGCCTTATGGAATATTGTATCCTACACCCTCCGATCTTTTAGTATAGAAGCTGCAAGGTCCTGTGTAATCCTGACTGTGGATCCATGATATTTTAAATTGTTCCTTTCTGGCTGTTTGCAGTATTTTCTCTTTGATCTGGTAATTTTGGAATTTAGCTACTATATTCCTTGGCGTTTTCAGTTTGGGATCTCTTTCAGGAGATGGTCGGTGGATTCTTTGGATGACTATTTTACCCTCTGGTTCTAGGACCTCAGGGCAGTTTTCTTTGATGATTTTCTGAAGGATTTGTACAGGCTCTTTTTTTCATCATGGTTTTCAGTTAGACCAGTAATTTTTAAATTGTCTCTCCTGGATCTATTTTCCAGGTCAGTTGTTTTACCAATGAGGTATTTTACATTTTCTTGTATTTTTTCATTCTTTTGTTTCTGTTTAACTGATTCTTGCTCTCACAGAGTCCTTAGCTTCCATTTGCCCCATTCTAATTTTTAATGAGTTTTCTTCGATTAGATTTTGTACCTCCCTTTCCATTTGGCCCATTTTACTTTTTAAGGAACTCTTCTCTTCAGTGAGTTTTTGTGCCTCCTTTTCCATTTAGCCAATTCTACTTTTTAAGGACTTGTTTTCTACAGATAATTTTTGTCCTTCCTTTTCCAAGCTATTGGCTCTCTCTTGCATACCTCTCATTTCTTTTCCCAATTTTTGTTCTACCTCTCTTATCTGACTTTTAGGATCCTTCCTGAACTCTTTCATGAAGGCTATTTGGGCTTGAGACCAGTTCATATTCCCCTCTGAGGTTTCGGTTGTGGGTATATTAACAAAGTTGTCATCTTCTGAATTTGTGCCTTGATCTTCCCTTTCCTCTAAATAAGAATCTATGGTCATTTTTCCATTTCTGCTTTTTGTTCACGATGTTTGCCTATTTCCTGACTTTAAAAAAAAAAATGTTGAGTTCTCCTGCTGGAGCAAAGGGGACACTGACCCAAGCTTCTTTTCCTGCTCCCCCGGGGCCTTGCACTTGAATGTCTGGCTCCTGCAGGCCCCTGCCTTGCACAGGGATGTTTCACTGCTGGTGGATGTCTGTCAGCCCGCAGCTCTGCCTTCTGGAGTTGTGTTGAGGGATCGGTGATTTTGCTGCTGGAGAACGCTGCTGCCTATGGTGGTTTTCGGAGCAGGTGTCTGCCGGTTGCCCTGCCTGTATTGAGGTTCTCGGGCTTCCTGGTGTTGGCACTTGCCTGCTCCACCAACCTGGGTCTCAGGATCTCCCCCTGGTTTGCTGAGGTGGGGCTTGCCACTGGCTTGCTGGGCCACCTCCCATCCTGTATTGCTTCCCCTCCCCCAGAGGGAGAGGGGCCTTTCCGGTTAATATCCCAAGCTTCCTGGGCTACAGGAACTGCTGTGCCCTGTCTTTATGCTGTCTCAGGGTTTTTCCTCGGTCGATAGTTTCTGGCCTTTCAGAGGTCAATGAGGGACTTCTTACTCCACCATCTTGGCTCCTGGAAGCCACACCATCAGGTATACGTCTGGTTCAGCTGAACAATCCTAATGTTCTTTCTGGGTGACGGACATTCAGCTCCTGTGTCTGTGTTCTCAAACTGGCCCCTCCCCAAGCCTGGAGCTACCCCCCGACCCCCCTCCCCCACCTGTATCACCTCTGAGGAGACTCAGAAGAGAGTAGCTCTAGCTAGGGGAGGGGGAGGAGGGGATCTCAGGCAGAGAGAAGAGATGAATGGGATGGCTGCAGGGGTGGGACAGTGCCCCTTGAGGTCCTTCCTAGGAAAGTGCCCCTGGCTCCCTCGTACCTCCCCCAGGGGAGGCAGTATCCCTTGACCAGTCAGCCAGCTGGCCTTCTCCATGGGAGGTCCCCCCAGGCCAGTCTCATTCTTCCCAGTTCCACCCCTGCTACAGCCTAGTTGCTCCAGAAGGAGAAACTGAGGCCTATGAAATGCTGGAGCATAAACAGCCCCTCCCTACTTCTGGGGACTTGTGGGGGGGGGGGTGCTTGTAACCATGGAAACAGCAACAAAGCCTGGGCTCCAGAGCTCGGAGCTCACAGTCTGCCTCAGGTGAGGGGGGAGGGGCAGTTGCTAGAGCTGGATAATTGGGAGGGGAGGTTGACCACCACCAGCCTCTGGTTCAGGCGGTATAAGGTGGGGGGCAGAAACCTGAAACTTTGTAAGGCTGTTTCCTCTTCTGTAGAATGGGGCTAAGGAATCCTGCGGCGCCTCTCTCCACTACAGCTGGTGGCGATATGAACTTTTAGCCAGAGCTAAGATCCACCTATTGGGTCTAGTCTGTGAGGACCCCTGGGGGTGGCTGGAGAGCACTAGGTCCCCACTTCTTCTCCACAGGTGGCCACCTCCTGTGGGCAGGAGCAGCCCAGCATCTCTCCCAGGCGGGCTCCCTCCAGGAACACCAGGGATGGCTGGGCAGCCTGCGGAGCAGGGGAAGGATGCTTTCTCCAGCCTGGAGCGGCTGGGCAGCGATTTGGGGCAGGGGTTCAATGAGGTCCACGACCCCTCCTGGACCATCTCCTGGCCCTCCTTCCTGTGCAGCAGCGACGTCCTTGAGGCCACAGAATCTGGGCTAACCCCCGAAGGCGCTGATGGCAAGCTGTCCTCTGTCTCCTTCTCTGTGTCTCCCAGCAGCCTGCAGTAAGAGCCCTAGTGGAGGGTCCTGGCAGGGTTCAGGGGCTGGGTCAGGGAGTGACGGGAGAGCACCAGTGCTGAGACCTAGGACCTGGGCCCTGTGGCTCTGCTGCTGAGCCTGGTGACCGAGGCCAGGACAGTCTCTGGCTCTGGGACCTGGGACCAGGGCCAGGGTTCAAGGGCTATGGATGTGACAATTGCAGTTGGCACTCAGAGCGCCTGGATCCCAGGGTCCTGAGGCTGCTGCTGGCCCAGAAGGAGCTAGAAGTCCAAGGCCTCCGGAAGGCTGTTCAGTGTCGACCTGGGAAACGCATGGCTTATATCCTCCACCAGCTGACAGACTCCAAGCCAGAAAGGTCAGGAGCCCTCAGCGCCCCTCCCCCCCAGTTTCTCCCCCTTCCCCCACAGCCCTGCTCTGACCTTCCGACAGGAGCTCCCGGGACCAGATCAAAGCCTTGCAGCAGCACATTGAGAAGATGACTCAGGAGCTGAGGGACCAGAAGGAGCAGGCCTGCCAGGTGAGTCTCTGGGCCCTGTGGCCCCGCCACTGAGTCTGGGGCTGAGGCCAGGACAGACTCTGGAGGAGTGGGCCTGGGACCCTGCAGCCCCCTCCTCATCTCCCCCAAGGAGAAGACCGAGCTGGAGAATCAGCTTCGAGAGGCCAACAGAAACCTGCAGCGCCTGGAGGACGAGGTGCAGGCCTTCGAGCGATCCTGCCTCTTGCAGCTGGCTCGGTCTTCATGGGCTGGCCGCATGCTGCGCTCCCAGACAGGCAGCGTAGAGGTGAGTGAGCTTGGCTGGCCCACCCTGCCCAGATGTGCCTGCACCTCCTTAGGGAGCTGCCCTAGCCGTCCCCCCGCCCATCCCCTTTTTCTTCTAATGGGTCCTCCCTCTGCCCCAGACTCCTTCCCTGCTGCCCACAAACAGGGCCAGGCCTTGGACAGCCCTTCCTGTGGCCCTGGGGGCCTGCCAGCCCTCTAGCACTGCCGTGGCTAGCTCCCCCCCTTCCCCTCCCCCTCCCCCTCTCCCTTTCTCCTCCCCCTCCCCCTCCCCCTTTCTCCTTCCCCTCCCCCTCCTCCCCCTTGCCCTTCTCTTCTTCCTCCTCCCCCTCCTCCCCCTTCCC